ATAATAAATAAAGGGCCCAAATAATAAATAAAGGGCCCAAATAATAACAGGTCCAAATAATAACTATAATATTAAAAAGGGCAATAATAATAATAATAATAATAATAATAATGGGCCCAAGTAGTAGTAGTAGTAGTAATAATAATAGGCCCAAATAACCAATAAAAGGTCAGCCCAAATAATAAAGAGCCCAAATAATCAATAAAGGGCCCAAATAATAATAATAATAATAATAATAGGCCCAAATAATAACTATAATATTAAAAAGGGCCATAATAATAATAATAAAGGGCCCAAGTAATAATAATAATAATAATAATAATAATAATAATAATAGGCCCAAATAACCAATAAAGGGTCAGCCCAAATAATAAAGAAAGAGCCCAAAAAATTTCCATAAGGAGCCCCAAAAAATCTAAAGAGCCCAAATAATAATGATAAAGAACCCAAACAATCATTAGAGAGTCCAAATAATCAATGAAGGGCCCAAATAATAATAATGGGCATTCATCATCATCATAATTCCAAACAATAATAATAACTAGAAGAGTATTAACAATAATAATAATAATAATTCCAAATAATAACAACTAGAATATTAAAAAAGACCCCAAACAATAACAACAACAGTAATAATAAATGGCCCAAGTAATAATAATAACAATAATAATAATAATAATAGGCCCAAATAGCCAATAAAGGGTCGGTCCAAATAATAAAGAAAGAGCCCAAAAAAATCTACAGAAGGAGCCCAAATTATAATAATAAAGAACCCAAATAATCATTAGAGAGCCCAAATAATCAATGAAGGGGCCAAATAATCAAGAAAGAGCCCAAATAATAATAGTAGGCCCAAGTAATAATAACTATAATATTAAAAAAGGGCCCAAACAACTATAATAATAATAATAAATAATAATAATATTAATAGGCCCAAGTAATAACAATAATCATCATAATAATAACAATAATAATAATAAAGGTGTCAAATAACCAATAAAGAGCCAGCCCAAATAATAAAGAACGAGCCCAAAAAATCTACAGAAAGCCCAAAAAAATCTAAAGAAAGAGCCCAAAAAACCTAAAGAAAGAGCCCAAAAACCCAAGAAAGAGCCCAAAAAATCTAAAGAAAGAGCCCAAAAAATCTAAAGA